GTGTGCCTCTTTGCCTTCGTGTATTTGTTGTAGCGGACATGCATATTTGTGGACGTCACGTACATTCTGAGCGTGCTTGCTTGAACTGTGATCGCTTTTTTAGTTTGTGCATGCTCATGTTTGTTCGAATGAAGAGGAGCGCTGGAAGAGGAGCCATCCAGCTTTAGAAGCCAGATGTCAGAGGTCGTTCCACATTAGTGCCGCCGATCAATCGCGGGACTTGCGTAACTCTCCTGCTTCTTTGTCTCTGAAGGAAGTGGATTAGACGCTGTTTTCTGTGATGGGACCTGGGATGATTAGTTGGGCCTGTTTAGAATGCATGCACTCACAGATGCATGCAAACACGCACTCAAAACAGACAGGCTGGATGGGAGAATAGACTGTTTGTTTTTAAGATGCTCGTTATTTTAGTTTCCGCCAAATCATCACAAATGAGATGATGCCATAATGTTCTTTGATGCTGGCAGATCAGGCGACTTTCTTTCCTGCCTCCAGGTCAGACTCACTGGTAAATCCTCAACATAATCAGGCACTTTGACTGTTTTATCAAAAAGCCACCAAGAGAGAAAAAAACCTCCAAGCGATGTTTTGGTGACCTGCCAACTTTGCTGTTTTAACCAGAATTTGGCTGGTGGCTGGAGTGCGTCATGTTTACTTATATTGTCCAGTATCACATGTGGTGTGTCACTGGGCACTGCAGGCTTACAGCGGCAATGTTTCCAGATCCAGCTCAACATCTCTAATAGGACAAAGAGAAAAACAAAGAGAAACTCAAGCGCATCAGGGAAAGACAAAGAGTAATTCACCAGGACTAAGAGTCTTGAGCCAGGGGATCACCAAATTCATTAGGATACTTTGTTCGGGGCTTTGTACCAAATTTCCTGGCAATCCATCAAATAGTTGTTTAGATATTCCAGCCTTTAAAGTGATGAACTGACTGACACACTGTCTTAAAAATCTCTTTAAAAAAAGCAAAAAGTGACTGAAACCTTGAGAGGAAATTCAGAGAGAAGGCTGTCGTCCTGAATAACTTTACCTGTAAATGGGAGAACAGAATGCAGTAATATATATTTAAAATATACAATATCATTAAAAAACTCATAATAATAGGTTTCTGTTAAGCTTATTAGAAAAATACTGTCACATAATAGAAAAGAACTCACCCTCCTACCTGAAAATAGTAATTAAACACATTAACAATTTACTTAACAGAGTTCCCAATGTGTGATGTGAAGGTTTCGATGAAATGATTAGATTAGATTAACTTAATATTAACTTTTATCACGACCAAAGGAAAAACTTCCTTTTGTTATTTGATTACACAACCTCGTCCAGCCTCGTGTTTACCTTGGTGGTTTCCATTAACTAAACATTCACACATGCAGGGCCACGCTCACGCAGAAAAGTTAAGAATTATTCGAAACTTGATATATCCAAGTGTATATCTCTTTACAGTGAGAGGCTGCGAGAGAACACATATTTCCTCCAGCACCATTAAAGGGCCTCACCCTCAGCTGGAGCTCTGACAGCTCGCAACAGATGAACCGAGCCGAGTGCCCGCTGATCAGACAGCATGATTACACCATACATCACAGAGTCGGGCCACGGCGCTTCGTACTACCTACATGGACCAGCATGCAGGACAGTTACACACACACACACAAAGTTGCAGACATTTGTTTTCACACACTAAAACGTAACCACACAGTCCAGACGTCTTCACACCGGGGCTTTGGTACCTGATATTGATTTAGTTTTTGTTTTTTGATGAAAATATTTATTCATGTATATATTTGAGAGAATCTAAAAACATTTTAGTTTGGCTTTTTAGTCTCATTTTAGTGTTTTTAAATGTATATCCTCGAAGCACTTTGATGCAACAGCTGTCGCCATTTTTGTGTATGGTTGGTTACCGTGGCGACAGTTGCTATTCTTGTCTATCCCGAGGTTAATGGAAAAAGGCTTCTTCCTGTCTGTCTCGCTGGTGCACCAGACAGACTCGCTTCAGTAAATCCGAGTTTTTGTTTCCAACCTGTGAACTGCTCTCATCTCGTCCTCACCTAGCATTAGCATTAGCATCAGTGCAGCTATCTGATCTCTCCGCTGAAGACCAGCAACATCTTTCAGAAGATGGTCACTCTCTTGCTCATGACAATCCTGTTTACTAGCTGAGTTTAGCTCAAGAAGAGATACTAAATAAATGTAAATCATTCATACAGGTGATCAGCAATATTTCTTTAATGAATATCGAAAGGATGATTTCAGTAATAGTCACTTGATTTTTATGGCACCTGTTAAGAACAAAGTCACAAATAAAACAAATGTCAAATTGGACGAATTCTAAAAACAAATTCAAACAAATAAATAAGATCCTATGCATGTAGTATAACATGATAAAATAGTTAAGTCAGCAGTGGTTTTATCAAAGTGCCCTTCAGTAAAGAGGATTCTGATTGGCTTAATAAAAGTAACAAGTGTAAATATTTGGATCAAGACCCTGCAGTGTCATCTATGGTGTGATTTTACATGAGTTCATTTGTTAGATGAAACCCAACAAAGGTTAGATGAAATACTACTTCACCTGACGGTAATACATATTAACCTGAGACCCCATAGTGGTGTTAATTATGTAGAAAACCCCAAACTAGTAAATAATATAGCTGAGACTTCTACAGTCGTATGAATGACTCTTTACTTCTTAAAATGACATGAAAGATACGAAAGATATCCGACTAAACATCCACATCACCTGTGTTACATTAGCAGTGTTACATTAACATTAGCGTACCGTTTTATAAACGTTGGCTGCTGCCTGCCTGTTTTGTTCCTGTTTCTTCCGATTATAATTCGTAGGTGAGTTTAGTTCATAAATCCAAGTTTTCAACGTCAGATTACATAACTGACAGACACATGTTACTGAATGTAAGGTATTTCTTATTAACAGCAGTACAACAGGTCAAACATAAATCGAAACACCTGAACAACATATATTTTGGACAGTGGAAGAAATCTGAGCAGGTGCTGCAGTGTGTGTGATTCAAAGCAGCTCACTGAATAAAACTTTGCATTTAAACAGTGTTTCATTTATTAGTCTTGAACATTATTGTTTAGTTTTTCAGATCTCATTTAAAATGTCACTTTCTGTTAAGTTTTGCTTTTTGTTGTGAAAAATACATCATCAACAAATATTTTTCCACATCGTTTTTATTGGCAGAAATTAATCTCAAGATTGTGGAAGAATCTGAATTTTTTAGCTCATTCATTTATTTCCAAACTCTCTGACATAGGATTCTGGTTACCAAACTGTTCTTACCCCTAAAAAGCACCCCTACTCTTATTTTTCACTCCTCTTTCTTTCTTTTGCGCTCTCCTTAATGTTGAAGTCTGGAGAATTTATTGGAGATTAACTTGTCAGGGAAGGCTTTTTCCATGGCTCGCTTTACTGCATTCATCATTCATACACATAACAGATAGCATTCCACAATTTATCACCGTGGGCCCATCTCCTCATCAACAGGTGTGTGCGCACATGCAAGCCAGTTACGTATGTGCGCGCTTTTACACAGCGTCACATGATTTCTCATATCTTCGTAAGCACATATTCACATCTCTGTGTGTTTGTGTCTGTTATGATGAGAGTGTGTCTTTATAGGCAGACTTCCATGTGTCTGGCTGCTCTGAGCATAACTCATTCGGAGAGAGACGCACACACACCATCCTCTGGAAGCTTTCAGTCACAGGTCGTATACAGCACACTCGGGCGCGCATACATGTGCGCACACACACGTTCAACATGTATAGCCACTAAATTATGGGCTAGATAAGATGAAACTTTGATCTAGTGAGGAAAGTTAGCGTGCGCAAAGGAAAATGCACCTGCAGATGCAACACACTGACTTGTGTTTTATGGCGCACGGTTTCTGTTGATTAACACGAGGTAATAATTTAAAACCCCTCAGCCAACAAAAATATAGAGACAACGTCGTTGTACATAAATTCAGCACATGCTGACATAAAAATGGTGAATTTGAGCTTGTTGAACACATCTTTCTATAATGTTGACCTTCACAAAAACTGTTTATCTACAGAAGTATATAAAATAGTTTGTGTATTATGATTATTGAATGCATTTCAGTTGTAACAAATTCCCCTTATTATGGCCCACAAATTCCAAAATTGCCCCTTTTTATTCTGCCTGATTTATCTGAGTAGTTTAAAGTGCAGTCCATTTGTACTGTTGAAGCTTCAGGCTGTTATAGCTTTAACCTTCCATACCTGCTGGCTTACTTTTTTCCTTTTGCTCACTGAAGTGTAAATCCAATTTGAATCAGAGACGTCCTCTCTTGTTCTTCCTCTTCCTTCGCCTCTGTGCATCAGTCAGATGTTTCTCTTCTTTCAGGTCTCACAGTTATTTGTGCTATTTATTGAGATGCCCGTAGCTGTCTCGGGCATAAGTAGGCCAGGCAAACACATGCACACGCACACAGATAAACACATGTGAATACGCATGCATGCACAGATTGAGAGCCAATGAGAAGTAGGGCAGACAAGCAGGCAGTATTACCAAAAGCCTCGCATCTCAGGAGCAGACTGTCCCAGAGGAGCATCATGTCATAACAGTACTGATTGCACAGCATTTAGGAATGCCTGCAGAGTTAACCTCTCAATGATGAGGGGTCGCCAGTGATGTAATCACCCCCTCTCTACCCTCCTCCTCCTCCCCCCCTGCATGCTGCACATACACACCCTTGCATCCATTCCCCTCCGTTGCCATCTCTGCATGGTGTGGGATAATTGTCCACAAATGCTCTGTGGTGGCAATTAGACATGCAAGATTTCCTCTCAAGCCAGCCACTTCCAAAAACACAAAACTGTATCCCACCGAAAGCGTGAGATGCTCCAGTTCCCTTTTGTTTCGTGCATTTACCTGTTTGTGTTTTTTTTTTTTTTCCCTATATTGATTTGTGAGGTGACTCATTTTATCTGCTTTTCCCTTCCAGGTGCAGTACAGTGATGCGCAGAGTGGTAAGGATTTTGTGACCTATCTGACCCTCTCCCCTGTGCAAATGACTTTCCATGGCACCGGGAGCACCCTCCAAGCCAGCCATGACCAGGTATGTGTGTGCATATACAGTGTTGTGCCTACACATCGAGAGTAAAGTGTGGATACTCGTAAATATACACAAAAACTTATTGCTTCTGGTATTTGGCAGGTAAGTTGCTTGCCAAAGTAAAGTTGGGAACACCTAGTTCTTGTAGATGCTGGAGATTGTTGATTACACCCATGATGTGCTCAGGTAATTGCAGTGAGTGACAGTGCATTCCGTAAAATTCAGGGACAAACGGCTTCCAACAAGTTTCATAAATCATTTTTAGGAATGTGTCAGGAAGCGTTTTAGTTTGTTTACATCATTAACCTTTTGTCCTTAATCTTGTCTAAACACTTCAGTGGATAGTAAATGGGATATCGTTGCTGCAGAACTGGATTTTCAAGTGCAGTGCAGTTGAATCAAAAACTTGATGGCAGTATCAAGTTTATAGTAAATCTTAAACTGTAAATATTACCTGTAATTAATTTTAGGTAATAACTCAGTAAATAGCATATAAAACTTTTACTGCTGCTCTGTGGTTTCTTTTTGCCAGCATACAGTATACAGTCATTGTAATAACCCTGCAACAACCCAGTTGTGTCCAAAAATATCAGCCAGCCTCTGTTCTGTAGCTTCACCTGGTGTAGTTACGTGAGGCGTATACTGTATATAGTGTAGTAGACAGGGTATATTATGGCAAATCCCATCCTGTAATTAAGCCTCGGCTCTGTGGTTTTGTTATTAATCGCCAGGGCATCGGAACCACCTGTGATAATAATTGCATTTCTTTCTGACAGCCTTCTGGTCCTCCCACACACGCCCACCAGTCCGCCGTGATTTTCAATTCATCAAAGTAATCCTCATCCAGAAATCTGATTGACTATCTCGACAACTTGGGGTGGACCCCTCATTCTGTCTCCCTCCCTCTCTAGTTTTCTCCCTCACTCTCTCTCGCGTACTCCCCGTATTCAGAAGGAGCTTCTTTGTCTTGTGTTGCCCAAGCAGAAAACCAGTTGCTTACATTCTATCATCTAAACATAGGACGCCCCTTTGTTCAGCACTCTTCAAAGCTTTAATAAAGGGCTGGCCCGGCCCCGAATGGGACAGCTGACAGGGGGCTAGTGTCGCCACCGCTAACTGAGAGCCAAGCCAATATAGGCCAGTCAGGTCTGCGTCCTTTGGACCTGTTGTTGCCAGGAGCACTGGGGCATGACCGACTGTTAGAGAAGGCCTTTCTTTTCCTCTTCTCAGTACAGTGAGGAGTATGACCACAAAGGGAGCACCTAACAATAAGGGGTCACCCTCAGCAGCCCCTCAAGCCCCAACACTTGAACAGTCCTGAAGGCGTCACACATTTGGTCAGCTTTACCATGATGCTGCAAAGACGGTGGCAGAGATGTGGGAGCTGCTTTGACGATAGGCCTGCTGTCCACATACCAATAAGGCCCTCAGAGTTACCTGTAAGTCTGTAATAGTAGGTTCCCTCATCTGTTGGTGGATCTCAGGCAAGCTGTTGCACAATTCAGACCCATCTGAATCGCTGAATAATAGTTTATTGGAGCTCCATGTGTTTCCTATGCCACATGTTGGCCTTGGCAACCACTCACACGAACGCTCACTATGCAATTTAATCTGTGCAATTAGACATTGTAAATCTGATGGGATGGAACAGGGGATCTCTTTACTAAGAACCGATAAAACCTTTCCTGGAGCCTGTGTCTGGTGCTGCACATAATTAACAACACTAACGTGTGCTAACTCCGCTCAGATTCTTTACACATCTCTCTGGGAATTTCCTGTGGTGTTATCTGTGCTCTCTCATGGAGGTTTATGTCAGGTAGACCAGAGCAGCTGATACAGATCAGCAGCCAAAGGAAATCCTCTCCACACCTCTCTGCCCATGATGTATGAAGGAAAGATGTGTGAGATATGGACTACAGTTATGAATGAGTTTGCAAACGCAAACTAGAAAAGACATCATTTAATTTCTATCTATTTATGTGGGTTTGGCATTTAAGCCTTTTCTTGGCCCCTTTAACATGTATTTAACTAAAATAGTGAATATCCACGTCCAGATGTCAGGTGCTGCTATAGAAGTGTTAAGCAGTTGTTTTGCAATAAAAAAAGATCACAGTTTGTTAATATCAAACTTACACAAATTCGCCCCAGGCTGTAGCACAATGATCTGAAGAAAGAACACATGGTCCCAGAACCCCTAACGTTGTTTTTTTTGGGTTATCTGCAAGAGATGCTATCAGATCATTTAATGAAAAAGAAATTCTATCAACAGATGCGAATAGGCCTCCAATAATAATGCATAAATTGACCACATTGTTATTTAAACTCAAGGAGCTCATAATTCTCTCGCTAAAGTATGCTCCTGTTTCTGTCTTCGCTCTAGGACGGATTGTACCAGCCAGTCTTAGTAGTTCTTGGCTTGTGTCACACTAGGGATTTCATTATTAATAATTAAGACGTGTTTTTCGCTATCGAACGATACTGGTTGCTAGAAAACACAGCTCTCTCGAATTAAATTGAGTATGTAAAAAAGTCCCTGCAGCTGCAGCCAGCTGGGCAGATGTATAGCATTTTATGGACAAATGGCATGTTCAACCTTATTTTGTTAGATTTTTATATGCATACGAGGAGAAATGTCCGTCTGAGTGACAAAATGCTGGACAGTTATGCTGAATGTACCAGTTTAGTAGGACATTAGGATGTTTCATTCAAAATACAAACTGTTTATTGTTAAATTACCTTAAATTTGCATTTGTCAGCCACTGTCCTGACACTTTGGCAGTTCTTTTTACCAAATGTAAGAACTTAATTTTATTGTAGGTTTGTGTATCTTTGACAAGCTCGTCTTCACAGCAAACTTTGCAAACACCTCCTGACGCTGCAGGTCATATCTTCCAGTTAACACGGTGAGACACGCACCTATTTTGTGTACATTTGGACATAATTGGAAGAGTGTGTCTGTAACATGCCGGATGGAATGTGGATAGTAAAGGGTTATTAATTAAACACTTGTAAAAGGCACAGGTTGACAGTAAAAGCTCTGGATATCCTCCTGTGAATGTTAATGATGGAGAGCAGAGGTGTTGTCTGTCATTTTCACACCGTCTGCGCTGTATCAACAAGTGCACGTACCCACAAGCACCTACACAGCAGTGGTGAGGTGCCATAATGCTTGGCCTTGTACAGACATTCCTGGAGGGCTTGTACGTATGAGAGATATACAGCTGAGTGCTCTTTCTGACCTCATGTGCCATCTACTCGGTGCCATCTGCCAAACACATGTGAGCCCGCAGTCTGCTATGTGAGCTGAAACAAGCCTGGAGCGAAAGATGTTTGTCAACACGTTTTCTATGCCGGATGTAACTGATTTCTAATGATAGTCTTTACTTGCAGCAACATCTTAAACTCAATAGATGGAAAACGCGGCGCTGACGGCTCTTTGAACAAACAGAAGTACGATGACTACATTATGTTTAACCCTGATCTTTGCACATGTAAGGCCTGTCTTATGTTCCCATATTTAGCCGTGGGTTTATTTTTAGGTGACCCCTTGTTTAAAGGGCGGTCGAACTTACAACCACGAGCTACTCCATCATCCCAGACTTCCAGCTTTACTGTGTGCTCAACACTGTCAAGGTCATATCAGTTTTGCTCAGTTAAATCCACCCTTACACAATTGATATGTCTGTTACAAGGCCAAATTACAGGCCAAGGCAGTGGGATATATTTAGAGATTTTTTTGACTGGACTACATGCTTTTTAGACAGACTGATTTCTGTGTTTGTTCTGCAGAGCTGAAGTAACTCTCTGGCACTCCCTCTGTGGCGGCAGTGGGACACCAGGGGGGCCGAGGCCCACTGAGCTGTGTGTGAGGTGTCGCTGGTCCAACATGAGTTGCCCGCAATCGAAGATGACAGGGTGACTGTTGTCTGCCACCAGACTCTTGTGTGTGTCTGTGTATATTAGGGTGTGTGTGGGGTTGCCTTGCGTGCAGTAATGTCCTCAGCTGAGCTACCCTGGGTCCCTGGGGCCCTGTCTCCCAGATTGTCAGCTGTGGCTGTTTGATTTTCCTGCAGCAAGAGCACTTTTCGGCTGATTTGATATGACATGTTGACCATAGTGTATCGGGATTAAAATGTGTTGTAGACATGCTTTCAGGTAATGAGGGCCTCTTTTTGAATTATTTTTTTCCTGGATTTATTTCTTGTAAATTGCACCAGGCTATCCAGGTCTCTCTGGTGTTTGTCTGTAGTTTTTCATCAAGCCGTTGAGCAGAGTTTTCCATAACTTCCCTGTGAACTGACTGTGTTTACTGAGGTCGTGCCGAATCGCCTCGTGAATAAGCTTCTACCAAGGCCTACGCTACCTTACCAAAACACCATTTGGTCACATGTTTGCTCACTCGAAGATTTTTGTTTTCTTACACCAGATTCACGCACACATGTAGATAACCATGCCCTTAGGTTACACAAACCTCCCTACAGAAACTAAATATTAGACAGTCCTGCTGAAATTAATTGGGCATCTGACCTTGTCCTGGTATGTGGATTTCTGCTGCCAGCGGAGTTGTGATGTTCAAACAAAGGATAAGGGGACAGGGCTGTAGGGAGTTTATAATGAGGACTGGTGGTGAGGAGTGTATTTATTTATAAGTTGTGCACATTCCTGCTGCAATTTTTTAGTTTTTTTCCTAGAAATGTTTTGAAAACACTAGATTTGTTTTTAAAAAACTGAATTTTGGGCTGCCGCAAGAGGGTATGGAATAGGTTATGGCGGTGCCACCACAGACGCCTGAGATACAGTTTGATTTATTTTGTAGTGTCTGAAATTTTTGAGGTTGGTGACATAACGTTGCCGCCTTACCAAGGGGCAATCCCACTCACTTGGCCACATTTAAGGGCGACTAGTGACTAGTAAGCGATCAAACCGTGTTTACTGCATTAGCTGAAGTGAGGGAAGGGAGCGTGACAGTAAGGAAGCATTGTGGTAGATAGAAGAGGATAACT